GAGTTATCATAGCTCCTGAATAAGATCTATCCACCTATGACATTTCATGTGGACATATCAAACACTTTTGAGTTATGCTCCACTCAGATTATGAAAAATAACAAAGGGCAATTACTCAAAAATTATGAAAGGTAGAGATATCATTCATGTGCATTGCAAACCTCCTGAGTGAGATCTATGCATCTATGAAGTTTCATGTTGATATCTCAAAGGCCTTTTGAGTTATGCTCTGGACAAAAATTAATTTTGAAAAATAACAAAGGGCAATAACTCATTAATTATGCAGGGAAGACTTATCATTCTTGTGCACTGCACTCCTCCCCAATCATGTCTATTCACCTATGAAATTTCAAGTTGATACCTCAAATACTTTTTGAGATATGCTCCGGACAAAAATGTCGGACGGGAGGACGGACTGACGGAAGGTCGGACGGACGGACGGAGACTATTTCTATATCCCCCGACGCCTTTTCGGCGGGGGATAAAAAAAGAAACTCAAAAATTATGCAGGGTGAAGTTATCATTCTTGTGCACTGCACTCCTCCTCAATATGATCTATCCACCTATGAAGTTTCAAGTTGATACCTCAAATTCTTTTTGAGATATGCTCCGGACAAAAATGTCGGACGGAAAGACGGTTGGACGGAAGGTCTGACGGACGGACAAAGACTATTTCTATATCCCCCGCCGCCTCCACCTATGAAGTTTCAAGTTGATACCTCAAATACTTTTTGAGATAAGCTCCGGACAAAAAGTATGAAAAATAACAAAGGGAATAACTCAAAAAATTATAAAGGGAAGAGTTATCATTCTTGCACATAGCATTCCTCCTCAATAAGATCTATCCACCTATGAAGTTTCATGTTGACATCTCAAAGATTTTTTGAGTAATGTTCCACTCAGGTGAAAAATTAAGTATGAAAAATAACAAAGGGCAATAACTCAAACATTATGAAAAGTAGAGTTATCATTATTGTGCACTGCACACCTCTTGAGTGAAATGTATCCAACTATGAAGTTTCATGTTGATATCTCAAAGGCCTTTTGAGTTATGCTCTGGACAAAAATTAAGTTTGAAAAAAAAAACCGAAGGGCAATAACTCAAAAATTATGCAGGGTGGAGTTACTATTCTTGTGCACTGCACTCCTCCTCAATATGATCTATCCACCTATGAAGTTTCAAGTTGATAGTCCTCAAATACTTTTTTGAGATATGCTCCGGACAAAAATGTCGGATGGAAGGACGGACGGACGGTCGGACGAAGACTATTTCCATATCCCCCGCCGCCTTTCGGAGGGGGATAAAAATGTATTTAAATGTATAACATTGTGAAATAACCAAAAGTAAGCAATTGACACATTATTACAACCCACGTAAACTAGAACTATCACTACTCCCGCAAGACTGCTTCGGAAATGATGAAGTACAAGTAACAGAATACCTTGTAAAAGAATTGAAATTGAGTTATGAATGTGGGAAATTAAAGATAGTTGTGGTTTTTTTATGTTGCATTTCCTTACAACATGGTTGACCATTGATGAAGTTTTATTGAATTACTCTGTAATTAATCCAGAAAGAGTTACGCTTCTTGAGCACTGCACTTTCTCATTGCACTCAACCATTGTATGAAGCTGCATTGAATTCTTAACATTACTTTTAAGTTATGCACCCGACAAGGGCAATAACTTTACAAATACTGAAGATGGAGTTATGGTTATTGTACACTGCACTTCCTCTCATTTCGCTCGACCATTGTTTGAAGTTGTATTGAATTCCAACTACTAGTTTTCAAGTTATGCACTGGACAAAAATGTAACAAAGGGCAATAACTGTAATTAGCCAAAATAGAGTTATGTTTCTTCTGCACTGCACTTCATCTCACTGCCCTTGACCATTGTATGAAGTTTCATTGAATTCCAAACATTATTTGTCAAGTTATGCCCTGGACATTAAAAAGTAACAAAGGGCAAAAACTCTTAAATGAGTCAAGAAAGAGTTATGGTTTCTGTGCACTGTGCTTCCTCTCAATATACTTGACCATTGTATGAAATTGTATTGAATTCCAAATAGTACTTTTCAAGTTATGCTCTGAACAAGAAAAAAGCAATGGAAAAGTAACAAAGGGCAGTAACTTAATAATTACTCTAGACAGAGTTATGGTCATGCACTGCACTTTCTCTTATTGTGCTGACGATTGTATGAAGTTGTATTGAATTCCAACAAGTAGTTTTCAAGTTATGCTCCGGACAAGGAAAGGAACAAAGGGCAATAACTCTGTAATTAGTGAAGATAGAGTTATTGTTCTTGTGCACTGCACTTCCTCTCAATGTGCTTGATCATTGTATTAAGTTGTATTGAATTCCAATCTTTAGTCTTCAAGTTTTGCTACGGACAAAAATAAGCAATGGAAAAGTAACAAAGGGGAATAACTCTGTAATTACATAAGATAAAGTTATGGCAGTTGTGTTCTGCACTTTCTCTTATTGTGCTTGACCATTGTATGAAGTTGTTTTGAATTCCAAGCGTAGTTTTCAAGTTATGCTTCGGACAAGGAAAAGTAACAAAGGGCAATAACTCCATAATGAGTCATGATGGAGTTATAGTTCTTGTGCACTGCACTTTCTCTCAATGTGCTTGACCATTGTATGAAGTTGTATTGAATTCCAACCATAAGTCTTAAAGTTATGCTCCGGACAAGGAAAATGCAACGGACGTCTGGACCGACCGACCGACCCACCCACCACTGGGTGACTCCTATATACCCCCCAAACTTCGTTTCGGGGGTATAATTACCAAAAAGTGGTCAAAATATGCATAAATAGCCCCAACTGCGTTAGTAACGCAGTAGAAAAATAGTTGTAACATATACATGCTCATAGCTACTTTCCTCAGTTATATAACATTTTAACATGCTTTAAATCCATTATCAAAACATTATTCAACAAATATTTGACAGTTCTAAAGAAATAAAAAATATGGATTTCTGAGGCATAATGCGCCTTTAAAAAATTATTGAAATTTTACTTTAAGATTCATCATTTATATTTTACTTCTCATTATTACTTAAGTACTATGTCAAATAAAATCAAAGCATTTTTTTTTGTTACCAACACCATGTGTATATCTTCCTGCAGCAGTGTAATATCATTTATATTTCACAGACAAGTACAGAATCAATAAATTCTGATCATATACAAATGTACATTTCCATGATGAAATCACTAAGAAGTATATCAATAACTTCAAATAGTAACTTTTCAATACTAATAGATCTAGTCAAATATCACATATACTTCAAAGTTTATAAAAACAACAATTTATAAAATCAATACCTTCTAACTGTAACATTTCCATGGTATCCGGTCGTGTTTCTCCAGTGGGGTCAGCATTCTGTATCTGCTGCAGCATTTCATCTATCTTTGACTGAAATAATGACATTCTTTTTTCAAGATGGACTTAAAGATGGATTATGAAAATTAATAAATGTATGTAAAGTTACAAGTTATGATATTAACATTTTTGATGAACTTAGAAATATGCTCTCTTATAATCTAAAACTGGGATCGAAAATATAATGCTTGTTTGTTTTGTTTTGTTTTGTTTTAAGGGACATTACGCTGAAAACAGGAAAGATGATTTTGGCTGACCTTAGGTGTTACAACTAGAGGTCAAAACCACCCCATCTGCTGGAGGTAAGAGCATCCAGTAACTTGAACCAATTTTGTCACCTCTTATGATCACGCATGAATATACAGCTGGTGTAATTCTGATGTCTCAACCCCCTAAAGGCAGCATCTCAGCCACAAGGGGAAAACTTGAGGTTCGTTTTTACCATTATGTATTGTCAAAATTACTGAGCTATGGTATTTCTATTTTAACTATTCTTACCTCATCAATTTCTAGCTGTTCTGGTGCCTCGATCGTCTTTACTTGAACTTCTTCACTGAACTCTACCTTCTGTTTTTGCTATACAAATATATAGAATAAATACATGTAATAAGATTACCATTTAAGCTAGAATATTATGACTTTGCTAACACCATAATATCCGGTGGTCTTCAAGTCACACCAAAATTGGTCAATATCATATTGGTCCCTTCATTTATTCTAGTGGAAAAATACTCTTTGTGTATATCTTAAGACATTAGCTCCACATCCAGGATAGGTTCCTCTGACACATACATGCATGTATCAACCAATCATCTTCCCCGACATGGTCCTAAACCCATTACTTCATATAGACGTCTATTCACGCCTTCCCACCTCCTGTTTTGAGGCCTCAAATAGTGAAAAAAATATCCCATTTAGACCCCAAACACTTGTTTTCGTTTGAGAAATGGCGTTAAATAAAAAGTGATCACTTTTTCAGTGCCATCCCCTCTCCAAAACAATTTTGCACTTGTGAGAGGCTAAAAATGGCCTCAGTCAACCTTAAGGTAACATGTAACCAACACCGAAAAGCCTTTGACTCTATCTCAATCCATTGAGAAGTTGCAGCACTTTGAAATTTTTTGATGGAAAAATCGATGCAAAATAATGGCAATTTTGAGATCCTCTCATTGCCAAAATTTAGGACTGAGTATGCCATTACAAAGGCTATGGTCTAGTCAACATTTGTGCCAAGTTTGAACAGTATTGAAGCCTTTAACATTTGAATTTGTAACAAGTTTTTTAATGAAAACAGCCTTTTTTAACAAAATGCTCATGAAGTAATGGGTTAACCATAGTTAATGGGCAATTAATTTACAATGACCACCTAAACAAAATAGCCCAGACCACAGCATGCAAAGGCCTTGACTACCTGATCAGAGAGGCACCCTTTTATATATATTAAAAATACATTTTTTAAGGATAGTTGGTTGTCATTTCCAATTTAAATCCGAATATTTCAACTTTTCATTTTACTCAATAACATATAAAGTAAGTATTATATGTAGTATACAAAGAAATTTATTCATCAGAACATTTTTATGCCCTTAATGTTTATTATTTTTTTACTGTTTTGTTACAAGGCTTGTTTATGATGATTTGTAATAGAAATACAACATTTTACAATATACAGCAGCATGATATATAAACATTATACATATGTTTTTCTGGTTCCACTGACAGGTCTGCTGTAACAAAGTTAGCCGGGAACAAGCCCTCTCGTCTCTGACTAAAACCTTTCCACCAGTTAGGGTCACTGAAATACCATATTTTTCAATAAATTTTGAAACAATAAATTATAAATTGTCTTAAATCTTACAAAAATGATTTGTGCCATAGACATGTCAAGTTTGCAATTTTGAACTGTACATCGACAATGATAGCAAATTCAGTTTTTAATTATCAAACAAAAGTTGTCGGAAGGGCAGCGTCCTTGACAATTCTCAGTGCTTAATTGAAATTAAAAAAAAAAAGCCTTTATAATGTAGAAGTTCAAAAACAGCCATAATTCTGTCGAAATCAATGGTCAATGTTAGAGCTTAATCAACCTTGGATACAGACCTACTATTATGCTCTCAAATAAATGTGTAAGGTTTTAACCTTACCAAAGTGTGACACAAGCCCCAACATGAGTGTTATAGCTTTCCTTACTCTATGAAAAGTGAAGCAAAATATTAAAATTAAATCACAAACAGTTGAGTCTGGGTGTGGTTACAGAAGTGTGCAGGTTGGCCATTTTCTGTACCCATCATAAATACTGACCATTATTACCTCAAAATCCATCAGAGTTCATTTAATTATTAACTGAAAAGATCAAGTTAATGCAGACATAGGCTCCTAAGAAGAAACAATCATGTTCTGTTAACCATTTGAATGGCTAGCTCACAATTGTCACACAGCTACAGCTCCCTCCAGCACTATAGTGTACAGAAATGACTGTAGTTAATGGTTTACAAATTTGTTATATCATTTTAATGCATCATGTATATATGTTTAAGAAATGCATCATGTATATATGATTAATAAGTAATTTCCTGACAAGATGACATTTATTTAAGTCTACGCTTTAAGTATAAACTCAGAGTCTTCCAACTGAACAGACAGACTTCTATTTTATCAACAAACTTGTGTCTGCTTGTTCAGGTAAGAATTTTTATATATTTTCATTTCTTAATGTTGTAGTATTAGAAACTGTGTACTTATTTCATATATCAATCTTCTGTTAAATTTATGTACTAACTGAAAATAACAGAAAATAACTTTCTAAAAGTATTGACTTATATACATGTGTAATTGTAAATGTAAATTATGTTGTATTTACATTCAGTTGTATTTGTTAATATACAGTATTTCTTACTATGTTTGTTAAATTCACTTTCAATATGTATTCATAGTTTAATACTTTAATAGCTTGAAATCATACAATATGAGCCGCGTCACGACAAAACCAACATAATGGGTTTGCGACCAGCATGGATCCAGACCAGCCTGCGCATCCGTGCAGTCTGATCAGGATCCATGCTGTTCGCTATCAGTTCTTCTACTTGTAAACGGGTTTGTAAGCGAACAGCATGGATCCTGATCAGACTGCGCGGATGCACAGGCTGTTCTGGATCTATGCTGGTCGCAAACGCATTATGTTGGTTTTGTCGTGGCACATATGTATCTTACCTTGTCTTATGCTACTCTTGTTTAATGATTTTATCATAAAATTATCAAAATAAAAAACTTTTATTTTATCAACAAACTTGTTCAGTGAAACCCAGCCAAATACAAAGCTAATACAACAAAGATCCCCTGTGAAACAATGGAAGAATAAAAATTCCTTAATAATTAGTTTATACTAATTTAAATAGACTGTGTTGGAATCTATAAGAACACTCACAAATCCTTTGCGAAAACCAACCCGCACTAAGCAATTACTGCAAAGATTTTTGCTCACAGAAACAATGGCTTGCCTCTGACAAGGTTTGAACACAAGCAGACTAAGCAGTTGGCAATCCTTAGAATACTAGTCTATGTTAATTGCCAAATATGACAAATACGATGTGGTGGACCACTTTTAATCATATGAGCCGCGTCATGACAAAACCAACATAGTGCGTTTGCGACCAGCATGGATCCAGACCAGCCTGCGCATCCGCGCAGTCTGATCAGGATCCATGCTGTTCGCTTACCAACCCTATTACAAGTAGAGAAACTGATAGCGAACAGCATGGATCCTGATCAGACTGCGCGGATGCGCAGGCTGGTCTGGATCCATGCTGGTCGAAACCACACTATGTTGGATTTGTCATGACGCGGCTCATATAACCATAATCTTTGAAAAGAAGAAACCTTTAACTTTAACAGTACAATCAAACATAAAAAGATGAAACCACATGAAATATTGTCAATATTCACCTGTCATCAAGTACACTGATGAGTCCTCCAGCATGGAAGGTTAACTCATAATCCTCCACTGCCTCAAAGTCATACAATGCCCTCACCTGAAACATAATTTGTTAAAATATAGCTTAAAAAAATTATACGACTATTCCTCCATCAGAGCTATTCAAAAAGTGTCTTCTTACGTCTGTAAAAAGACACTTTTAAATAACCGTTACTTTGCACGTGGATTTAATTCAGCTGAAATATATGGTGTCATGTTTAGGCCAGTTTAAGGACTCCTATTGACATGCTTTTTTTTATTGCCCCGCCTTTCTGTATTTTATAGATATAGTAGCAAGATTTTACATTCTCCCAAGAATCTGTTGGCGCCATTCAACGTTGAATTTGTCTCATGCTTACACTTTCTCATACTTTAATCCTCTCGTGCGAATCAAAATGTAAAAATCGACGCGACGATTAACCCTAATTTTCTCATGTCTCTTTCGAGAACTGTCACTTATTTACAGAACCAGCGTCTATAGTTCTTCGAAAAAGGATGTTAAATTTCGCTATTTATCTATTAATAAGAGCCAGTGCGCTCGGCTATTCTCAGTGCTTGATAATAAAACAAGAGCCTGAAAAATGTAAATAGTTTCTAAGTTCAAAGGAGTCATAGTTCTGTCAAAATTCACAATTACAATAGCTCTACCTATTTTTCGAATAGTCGAGCGTAAACAAGAGATTTAGTCAATCTTAAATCGTACCAGGCGATATTCTAACTGCCTCAAACAGGACACCATAGAAACCGACAATAAGTTTTGCAACTTATGAGTAAATTCAGTTCGTCGAGAAATGAATCAAATGAATTGGATGGCCATTTCCAGGGACATAGTTACTGTTAGTTTTAGCACTGACGAAACTAACAGATGATTAAACGCGAAATCTTTTTTGTTTGACATTTTATAAAAATAAACAAAAAACATCAACATGACCTTTACTGGTCCAAGGCCCCCATCCACAAAAAATCATCGGCAATATATAGCTGAACATTGCCATGACAAGCTAAGCATGTGAATAAGGATACTTACCAAATTTTGGCATATAGCATTGACGTAAAATATGTTCAGAGACTATTTCAATGTTGAATCTCTCTGATGAAGGCAGCCATTTTCAAATTGTTTATCGTGAATGAAAGTGAATTATGTCCGATTGAAATCAGTGCACGAAAATTTCGTGCGAATACAATTTACCTACACCTTTCACTGCTCACAGCTTTAAGGCCATGCAAATATTTTTTATAGTTTTATATTTTCAACGTGAACGTACATTTAATTTCAATTAGATCTAATTATAATTAAATGTTTTTTTATTAATTTATCTGTTCTTTACACTTAAACGTCGTATAAGTCAGATACAGTTACTCGTATTTTCTTCAAAAGTGTCTTCTTACAGACGTAAGAAGACAGTTCGCTAGGACAAACAACAATTCATCCTCGGCTTCGCCTAGGACAATTTGTTGTTTGTCTCCTAACGTCTGTAAGAAGACACTTTTGAAGAAAAACTCGTACTGTATCCATTACTTGTTAAGTATATACACATTTCTAGAATCCTTCCCTTCTTTCAACAACCTGATTATTTAGCTTTTGCTATCTGAATGAAAATAGAAATTAATTCTTCCTATCACTGTAAGATAGTTGAATGGCTTCCTGTAATGTAATCACTTGTCGTTATCAGCAGTTTTTAACATATATCATGAGATATAATTGCTTTTTTTCAAAGAGACGACTTTATAGCTTTTTGAAATGCTGACTTTAAAGCTTTTATTAATGATTAACCATGGTTTTATAGTTAATTACACCAAGATTTTTGTAACATTTCAAACATTGATTCTTTATCTTTCCTTGACCTTAATCTTTTAGTTTTTAGGCCACAACTTCATAGCTTTTTAAACCACTATTTCATAGCTTTTTTAAACTGTTAATTCATAGTCTATTGAAGTGTTTTCAAGCCTTGATTTTATATCTTTCTTTAAACATGATTTTATAGCTTTTTTAAACAATGATTTCATAGCTTTTTTAAGCCTTTATTTGCCATGATCTTCATAAGCTTTTTAAGCTTTTTCAGCCTTGATAACTTTTTTAAGCCATGCTTTTATCGCTTTTTGCAACCTTAATTTTGCAGCCTTTGGTCATCATGATCTTTAAAATTTATAACTTTTTTAAGGCATAATTTTATAGCTTGTCAACATTTCTTTCTAACCTTCCTCACTACCCTCACTCTTGGAGCTCCGCCTCCTGAAGCCCATCCCATAGAAAACCCAGTAGGATACAGACTGGTTGTTTTCTGACTGGGACCTTCCTCTTCATCTTGTAGTGAAAGTGCGATTGCTTGAAACAGAAATAATCTAGAATCAATCGAAGTCAGTTAACATTGTTTTTTTATATCTCATTGTTTTTTTTATATCTAATAATTATTGGAAAATTTCTAAACCTTATTGTTCACAACTACATTTTCATTGTCTTATTTATAAGTAAAACTTCTTTGTAATCATTTTTCAAGTTATTATTTTCGGGCATATCAAATGTTTATCTTCTGCATATTTAAAACTTTTAACTTCTTAAAGCTAACCATAAAAACCATCTCAAGTAACCCAGGTAACCTACCTTTAGCTAGATCATCTTCCTGTTGTGATTGGGCTACATTTGGGTCTTTACTCATAACAACTGTGTTCTTAGGCTGTAAGTAATATACAATTTATTTCAAGTTTTGGCCATTTTCTTACATCTTTATGTAACTTAGTACACTTTTAAAAATGAACTCTAGCATTCACTGTTGCATCTTTTATCGGATAATAAATTAAAATCAGACCCAATAGCAATTGACATTCTGAAACTCAATATATTTTTAATATCTCAATAATAACTCAATATCTATTTTGGGACCTCTTTTGTTCTTAACGTATATAAACGACATTGTTATCGATATACAAGCTAATATTCGCCTATTTGCTGATGACACGAGTCTATATCTAATTGTAGATGATCCTACCTCTGCTACTACCACTCTTAACTCTGATCTCTCTACTATCTCCGACTGGGCCAAAACCTGGTTGGTAAAGTTCAACCCGAAAAAAACAGAATCTCTTATCTTGACTCGCAAAACTGGCAAACAAGTCCATCCGCCCTTAGAGATGAATGGTGAGACTATTCAAGAAGTTACTCATCATAAACATCTTGGTGTATTTTTCTCTTCTGATCTCAGATGGAATATTCATATAAACTATATAATTGAGAAAGCCTACAAGCGTATCAATGTAATGCGAAAGTTGAAATTTATCCTTGATCGTCATTCACTGGAAAAAATTTATATGTCTTTCATTCGTCCTCTTTTAGAATACGGTGATATTAACTTTGATAACTGTACATCTCAAGAGAAGGAAACAATCGAAAAGGTTCAGTACGAGGCAGCTCGTATTGTAACGGGTGCAACCAAACTTGTGTCAATTTCCAAACTTATGTCCGAGGTAGGGTGGGAATCCCTTGAATCTCGTCGTAACCAACACAAACTTGTTCTTTTTTATAAAATGACCAAAAATCTCGCCCTTCCTTATCTTTCTTAAATACTTTCAGTTTTCACCAATGAACAATCATATATCCTACTAAATCAAAACTGTAACAGAGCTCCCAGAGTTCGTAACACATTATCTTATGATTCCTTCTTGCCGTCCACAACTCAAGCCTTTAACAGTTTTCAAAGTGACGTTCGCAGCTCTCCAACATTATCGTCATTTAAACAGAGTATATCCCCTTATATTCAAATGCCACCGAAATATTTTACTATGGTAAAAGAAAACGTCTGAGGACCAACTGTAGCTCTTTGGCCAAAGACCTGTTTTCTAGAATATCATACCTTCGCCTCTTTGCGTCTGTGGACAAAGGGAAACAACTCGTCACTTTTTTCTCGACTGTCGTCTTAATCAAAACATAAGACCTCAGTTGATAAACTGTATAAGCACATACTGTCATGTTTCATTAAATATTATTCTTTTTTTCGTAACACGGCACTTACAGACTCATATAATGAGAAATATTTCTTGCAGTTGACAAATACATTGAAAAAAAATCAAATCGCTTTGACTCTCCAACAATTTTCAACTATCATTAAGGGTTAAATCACAGGTCATTTTTTCTGTTGTTTTTTTTCTCCTTCTTTTTTCTATCTCATTCTTCTTTCTATCTGAACTTATTAAACTATTATCATTACTAGTATTATTTTGCTTTCCTTTTAAATAATTAATTTATATGTATTAATTCATTTTTCGATGTAAGATAAAACACATAAGCCTTCTTTCTCAACAAACGACAATTTCTTTCGCCTTATTTTGCACAAATATTTATTGTACACTGGGAAAAGACTTCAATAAGCATTAGGTTGCTTCCAGTCTAATCCTTTTCTTGTTTTGATTGTAAATATCATGTATGTAAATATGCTTATGTGAGAAGGAATAAAATATGTTTAAACCAATATATTTTTGTAGAAACGAAAACAAGCTATGCTTACAAGAGATCTGAAATTTTTTTCTGCCCCAGGTGTCCAGCAGAAGCTGTTTATTTTTACCTGCTACTGCTTTTAACTCATATCCTACTGCAAATTCTACTCATAAATAAACACAGAAAAGAAGAACCCCTGACTCAGCATGCTCTTTTTAAGGACATAATTATATATTTTCCGAAGGGATTCCAATTTGCATAGGAATGAGTAACATTGACAGTTAAGCAGCTACCTTACCACTTTCAAATTTTCAAGGAGATTTTGCTACGACCAGATACTAAAACAGATCAAATTCTGGCTGCTGTCTTTCTCAGTAGTAGCATTTATTATAACATTAGTAACCTTATTACTAGCGTATGACTTGTCAAGAAAAAGCCTTTTAACCAAAGTTGTGTGTAGCATCTACCCCTTCGTGCATAACTGTTTATTTTTACCATACTGTTAAGATGTATTTTCCCATTTTTACCATATTTATTTTCAATAATAATATCTAAATGAGTCCATAGGTAAGTTTGTTGATTATCTTGTTTATGTATATCTTGTTTATTTTATCTCTAAGAAAGCCGTCACTTACAAAAACTAATAAATATTCTGTGTAGTATTTCTTGTACATAAAGAGTTTTCTACTCATCAAGTAAAGGTAATAGCTATTGACAACATGTATACACAAATCTTAGATCATTGATTTATTAAAATGCATAAAAGGGGTTCAATGAAGACCTTAAACTACACCAACTTGCATATATCCACGAGATAAATTAAGTTGTGCTCACGAGATGCTATGTCGTGGCCAACTATGGCGTGGCACATTTCTAATAAACTTGGAAAATTCATATAAATAGTGTAATCTGATTGGTTAATTATCTCGTGCGCACGACTTAATTATCTCGTGGTCACGACTTGGTAAATCGTGGCGAGGACATAGTATCTCTTGCGCACCACTTAATCATCTCATGGACACGGCTTAGTAACTGGTGGCCACGACAAAGTATCTCATGCGCACGAGATAAATAAAAACGCACAAATGTCAACTCTGTGCCACCCTACCGGTATGGCTTAAAATATCTCCAAATAGATATAAACAGAGATGCCAGGATACACTGAATATTTATGTCCACATTAAAATGGGACAAATTCACAAGTTTTTGGTTAAACCACGGAATTATCAAAAGTAAGCTTTGTATACACTAAAAGTATTTGGGTTTTTCTACAACCTTATATAGAAAGAAGGTACAAACTGACTGACTGTTCAGTTCCTTTAATTTATGTCGTCAAAAGTGAAATCCATGTATCGCATTCTAGCACTGACTGCTGAATGTCAAACAAACGAGTTTGAGTAGGCCTACCTCTGTGAACGAATTCAACAATTCGTACTACGAATTCAACAATTCGTACTGTTACCTTATACCTTCACCACATGAACGTCAATTTGGTAGGTAGTTGATAGATGGACATTCGAATAACCAGCTACCTACTAGCTGGTAGTTGTTTATTCGTAATGCCCAACTATTTAATAGCTGGTAGTTGTAAATTCGGCAAGAAATGTTCGAACACCTCAAACAATTTTAAAAACAAAATAAAGTTGGGTCTTATTTGGTGAATCGCGCGAATCCCCAACTACCTACCAGACGGTAATTGGTTATTCGAAATAAGCCTGTTTTACACTGAAAAAAAAAGCACGAAATCTTTCCGGAATAGAAATGACGGATATATTGCAAGATAGATGTTTTCTTCAATATTGAAACGCCATGCCTCCCTACGTCGACCAGGGGACTCAGTTGGTTATTCGCGCGAATACCCAACTACCAAAATGAAGGTTGTTTGTAATTTGGATACTACATGTATTCGTCTGAAAACAAGTATTTTTCTGTAACAAATGTTTCGGTTATATAACGATCTTTATCTGTTCTATAATATGGTATCACCGCTTCACAAAAAATCGACCAGGGGACTCAGTTGGTTATTCGCGTGAATCCCCAAATACCAAATACCAACCAGAAGGTAGTTGGTAATTTGAACATTTCATACATCTCTCAAAAAAATACTTTTCAAAATAAAAATAACAGATATATGCCAAGATAATTTAATTCTTCATCAAGCCTTACATTTTACAGTTTGCTGATATCTTTATTAAATTTAGCACAATATATATGATTTCAGCTTAAAGCAGTCCTAACAATGGTAGCTCTCTGCTTCCCTTTAATAAATTAACTTTTATGTATAGGTTAGAGTGCATATTGGGTTTTCTTCATAAATAAGAAAGCTAAAAAGGAGCGGAGCTTGCGGAGCGACTGTAGCTTTCTTATTTACGAAGAACATCCAATATGCACTCTAACCGGCTTAGTGCTCCGCCCACTTGCGTTTTATAATATAAAACGTCCAGTTTATATAAAATCTGTTCTATTACGATTTGAAACCTGAAAATTTGAAAAAATATTCGTCCGTGATTGGCTTAAAACAATTGGCGAGCACTATATTATAAAACGCAAGTGGGCGGAGCACTAAGCCGGTTAGAGTGCAGTCGCTCCAGTCGCTCCGCTCCTTTTTAGCTTTCTTATTTACGAAGAACACCCAATATGCACTCTAACCTATACTTATGGGGCATCACAGCAGTTATTGACATAGCTGATATACATGCATATCGCTTACATTAGCATGCGTTTATGCACTGTTTTTTATCGCATTTAACACCAAGCCGCAAGTTATTATATATGCTACTGTTATAATAACTTTTTATTTCATGTTCTCCAGTGTTTTATTGTAATATTTCAGATGATTATATTCTGATAAACCACTAGTGAAATTTATAAAATATAATTTTCACTGTAGCCGACTATATCTGAATGCGGTTGAAAAGAAAATCATAACTAAATGGAATAACAGGTAGAAATAAATGCCGTCATACTTAAATTTTGCTTTTTTAAGGAAAAGAAAGTCGATATGTCCCCATACATCATGTTAAAAATGTAACAAAATTAGAGAAATTTAACAGAACTATATTTCAAAATTGATGATGTGACGTCATGATGTGATGACGTCACAAAGGAGAATGCGCGACGTTACGCGGCAAAATCAGTAAAAATACTTAAAATCACTTGAAAAGCATGAAATAAAAAGAAAATTTATTTGTTTTACATATAAGATTGAAATATATTTCATTCGTGAACACCAGCTATTATATTTTCACTCGTGGCTACGCCACTCGTGAAAATATTGCATCTCGTGTTCACTCAGTGAAATTATATTTCAATCTTACATGCAAAACAAACAAATATCCTCTATATTGCACCCCTGTGCCCACCTTGGTTTATGTTATAAAACGTTAAAAACTTAATATGCTCTAACTATTTAACCCATTTAATTAAAAAAAAGTCATAATAACAATAATCAAGAACTCAATCCAGCGGGCATCTTCCCGATGCACACGTTATTATTATTTTTACAAACAGATTTCCTTCAACTTGTAAAAATTACGACCTTATTTATTTACAACACACGACAGATGGTTAATAACTTTATTATTATTTATTCTAGCCATCAATAAAAACATATTTGATTTGGCCTTATCTGGAATCTCTGTGTCGTTTTGCTTTCAGATAATAGGATGTTAGCCAAAATTGCCGTCACTTTAAATGTGCTAAGTTTTGTTTTAACGATTGTTAGCTTGACTGTCCCCAGCTGGTATTATTGGTCCACGACTGTTGTTGGACTTACGGCTTATATAAAATTTGGACTGTGGAAGTGGTGTGGAGAAATTCCTTTGTTTGTGTCAGGATGTTTCCGCCTGGAAGATAGTGTTCACCCGATTTGTAAGTGGATATTTAAAGTTGCATGCCTGCATATTAGTCTGGTTTTATGTCTTCTATGCTGCGACTATTTATTTTGTTTCATGCCTACTATTCTGCGATTATTAGTCTGGTTCAATGCTTACTATTCTGCGATTATTAGTCTGTCTGGTTTCATGCCTATTTTTCTAAGTTTTTTGGTCTGGTTTCATGCCTACTATTCTGTGATTATTAATCTGGTCCCATGCCTAATATTCTGAGGTTATAAGTCTGATTCCATGCCTACTATTCTGCGAGTATTGGTCTGGTTTCATGCCTTCATTTTTGAGATTATTAGTCTTGTTCCATGCCTACTATTCTGCAATTATTAGTCTAGGTCCATGCCTACTATTCTGCAATTATAAGTCTAGTTCCATGCCTACTATTCTGCAATTATTAGTCTAGTTCCATGCCTACTATTCTGCAATTATTAGTCTAGTTCCATGCCTACTATTCTGCAATTATAAGTCTAGTTCCATGCCTACTATTCTGCAATTATTAGTCTAGTTCCATGCCTACTATTCTGCAATTATTAGTCTAGTTCCATGCCTACTATTCTGCAATTATTAGTCTAGTTCCATGCCTACTATTCTGCAATTATTAGTCTAGGTCCATGCCTACTATTCTGCAATTATTAGTCTAGTTCCATGCCTACTATTCTGCAATTATTAGTCTTGTTCCATGCCTACTATTCTGCAATTATTAGTCTAGTTCCATGCCTACTATTCTGCAATTATTAGTCTAGTTCCATGCCTACTATTCTGCAATTACTAGTCTAGTTCCATGCCTACTATTCTGCAATTATTAGTCTTGTTCCATGCCTACTATTCTGCAATTATTAGTCTAGTTCCATGCCTACTATTCTGCAATTATTAGTCTAGTTCCATGCCTACTATTCTGCAATTATTAGTCTTGTTCCATGCCTACTATTCTGCGATTATTAGTCTGGTTATATGCCAACAATTTTGCGATTATTTTCTTTCGAGAGTCAAGATTCACGTAATGTACATGTAATGTGCGATGAATGGATGATTTTGCAATATTAATCACCATAATTATGTCAACCTTGTTTCCTTAGGCAAACTGCTTTTTTCTTTCTATTTTACTAAACCCTCGGTAAAACTTCAGAATTAATACTATTATTTTGTTATCGTTTTTGTTTTTTGTTGTTTTTTTTTCTTTGCAAAAACCCTCTTTTCCACTGGTTATGTATTATAAAACCGACGTGACTACACTGTACGACAATTCTAAGGCAATTCTTTGAAAGATTCTGTAACTCAAAATTTTAATGGTTTTATATCATAGATATGATGCTCAATGAAGATTTATCAATATTGTCAGTTCCAAAAAAAAGCATTATTTGTAAAGATATAACCGTAAATAAATTTCATGTTAATAAAGGGAGGTAATTAGAATTATTATTTTCAATAAAGTCTAAATACGAAATGGATGGACATATTTTAATGATTACTTATAATGTGAATAAACATTTGCAGTACATATTTAACATATGCTTGGATGTTTGATTTTTTTAAGAATAGCTAGTTATATACATATATAAAAATTTCACAACATACAGGATCTTTAAAAAAGATGGTTGGTCTCACATCATTATGGTCATGTTAAAAACATACATGTATATTACACACATTCTTTGTCTAAGAAGCTGATAACCTGATACAAGCCGACAGTAAGCTGTATCGGTAATTACAAATTTATTACGAGTGTTAGCTCATAAAAGTGCATTGCCTGCAGATCCATCCTGGCGTAGACGCTTCAGCCGGTATAACGTTAAATTTTGACCACATGGGTCAATTATCAACGGATATTGATCCATTTTCAACGTTTAAAATCGATCCCTTCCCGTCATTTTATGACACGCTCAGGTATAGGCTACTTAAATGATTAAGGGATGTAACCGCTGCGAGAAGTTTGGCAAATTACCAGCCACGGTTTCTTCCCTTGAATAGTACAGAAAAGATAGAGCAGACGCTCTAGTGAAATCATTTTTATATGGTGGCTGATTTACGCCATGTCGTATGACGTCTGTGAGATATGAAACATGGAGATGCTGACTTGGCATTTGTGTTTTCCGATACGGCAATTTTATCACTTCTCTTTACTTTACGAAATTTCGTGAAAAGTAAAGGTCAATGTTGACTTACACATACATTATCCGATTTAGTTGTGCACAAATTACACATTGCGATAGCTTGAATTCTCCATTTTACGAAATATATGGAAGCATTGGAGGGTCACTTTTGAGTTTCGACTTACGGATATTTTACTTTTGACTTTCGACTTTTGACTTTTGATTTGTGACTTACGTCTTATGACTTTTTGCTAACCCATTTTACATGTGCTCTAGAAGCTGAAAGCAGCAACTTTGGTTTCAGGTATGTTTTTAAACGTTTTAAATAATTTCATTCAGATTTGTCATGGAGGAGAGGATGTGTTAAGGAGGGAATTTAATCTTATTTGATATAATCCCATAGTGGTAACATATCACAGACTTTAATTCCACAAGTGTGACTGTGTGTTTTGTACAATCTTCTATGTTTTTAATATGTTAATCATATTAGTGCTTATACATTTTTTGTCCTCATCAGTAAATCTGTCCATGAGTAACAAACAAATAACTGTTTTACAAGTAGACAGGGAATACAAGTTTTACTTCTTAAAATGGCATGGTGCACAATATTAAACATGTATCGCAATTCAGCATTTTATTGAGCTAACACGGAATTAGTAAAGAACGGCAAGTGCTATGTTCATACACACAAGTACAAAGTTAACTTAAAATTGTAATCGAGCACCATTTGCATTTAGCATCAATGTCTAATTTTGTTGTATATTTTAACAATTGAGAAAAGAACACTTAAGAATAAACGTTAGAACAAAAGATCCTACTAGCATTTAATTTTTTTTTTTTCGCACTTATCAATCTTAAAAAATCGGAGCTAAGAGATTTACCCATTTTATATAGTATGAATGTATAACGATTTAGATAAAAGATAAACTCTTATTTCAGACACAACCACTGGACAAAAGGTAACGAGGATGAAAACCTTGATGTTGATCTGTGTCTTCATCATTATACTGTTCATCATTACCAAAGCTACCGTGCCAAGATACCTACCCACAATATCTATAACAAACAAAACTCTGCTGATAATAGAGTACTTTCCGGTACAGCATGGCATTACAACGTCATTTAGTACAGTGATTAGACTTTTTAAACTCTTAAATTTAAAACGGCGTAATGGAATATATACTCCTTTTGAGACTGTGTCTGATGTTATAAACAGAGAAATACAAACAAATGGACAACGCATAGAATACCGTACAATATGGCGTAGGTTAATGCTGAATAACCACATGTACGTCAAGGGAGACGACGTCATGGAAATAATGGGAGCGCTTGATCCGGATGGTATTGAGATGCGGAAAGCTCATCGCTTATGCCGACGCGTATACGACGCATTATTATGACTCAGAACATATACATTAAAAAGGCTTTTTAAAAGATATACATGTTTTGAAATCTTAAAAAAAATATCCGTGTAATCTCATTTAAACATGTTTTGCAAGTGTTGTTTGTTTAGATGCAAAAAATAACATTCTAGTAATAAACTATGCATGTTAAATGCATGACTATTCTCGACACGATAGAAATATGCATGGTATTGTTTCTCTACCTCACCAATTTGAACATTTTTTATCATTTCCTTCTAAACTTAAAAAATTCAAGTCAAAGGGCTTGTATCAATTTGCTAAATTCTTTCTACAAGTATATTGATTCATTCTGTGAAATATGGACGGCTTTTACCGGCTAGTTTGTAATATATAAAACATTGAAAATGTTATAATTGTAATTTGCTCTTAGATTTTTTTAGCATTAATTAGGCAATGAATATCTTTAAAAAAGATTATAATAATAGAAAACGTGCATATTTTTCCATCTTAATATAGCTAGAAAAATCTAAACACATTTTAGCCGCGTCACGACAAAACCAACATAATGGGTTTGCGACCAGCATGGATTCAGACCAGCCTGCGCGTCCGCGCAGTCTGATCAGGATCCAGGCTGTTCGCTACCAGTTTCTCTACTTGTAAAAGAGTTGGAAAGCGAACAGCATGGATCCTGATCAGACTGTGCGGACGCGCAGGCTGGTCTGGATCCATGTTGGTCGCAAACCCATTATGTTGGTTTTGTCGTGACGCGGCTCATTTATTGTACAAGTTATTTGTCCTTTTAAAGATTTCCAACTCAGCAGCCTGTAAATACTAATTTGTAAAGTTTTTACATCACAATATATGTATGTGCAATTTTGTGACTTTGTACGTTAAATACATGCTGTATTTCTTTTTGTTTTTGGCATACGTATTACGAGATTAACTGCACTATATGAATCGACTTCTGGTTGTATCTCTTCTATCAAGCCCTGGTTACAAAAAGGCTGCCCCACTAGGAATAGAACCTCGGTCTCCCGCGTGACTGGCAGGGACACTTTCTACTATGCCAAATGTCACAGGGGGAGAAAGATATGCAGCCATACCGGGATTCGAACCCGGAACCCCTTACAGGGCTAGCTCTGTCCCCACCGAGATTGCATATCATGTACTGAATAAATTCGTACCGTGACATATAAGTTATACGTGTAATTTCAAGTATGTGTAATTAGATTCTAACGTCTTATTCATTCACAACAAATAGCAACCATACTTTATAGGATGTATTATGGTATTTAAAAGGAATATAATATGATTGTTATTTCAAAAATAGTAATTGATCTTTGTAGTAAATGCTGACTTATTTTCTCGTTAGGTTTTGCCTAATGACTTTTTACTTATGATTTATCACTTTTTACTTATGGCTTTTATCTTTTGACTTATAACTATTGTCATTTGCTGTTACTCTTTGCCTTTGTATAAACATTAGTTTTACTTGATTTTAGATTAATGCAAAATAAGCAAATTTGTGA